TGAGAACGAGCACAATCCGGGAATGTTCGTTCGAGTCACACACAAAGCGTTCAATTTTATCGCGGTGGTACGTGGAAAATTTTGGGAATTTTTCAAATTCACCTGGAAAAAAAGAAAAAATTCGAGGAATTTTTTCAAATTACTGGAAAATTTTTTGGAAAATTTCATTAAAAAATTCGTAAAAAATGGAAAATTTTCAGAATCTGATGCGAAAATTCGAAGAGGAAATCACTGATCAATCCCTAAATGAGTTCTCACGAGTGTTGATGCGACTGAACGTCTCTGTTTTATCACCAAAGCTCACCGAAGTGGAGATGCCCGAGCTCAGCTACCGGGTAAGTTAGTTTACCCGCCGGGAAACTTTGCTACCATTTTTTGAAATTTTGTCATTTTTAGATTTTGTCGAATTTTGTCATTTTTGTCGTTTACGGAAGAAAATTTTGTCTTCTCCAAAATGACCACCCACTAAAGCGATGATTTATCTCTAATAAACTGCTGATAAGACTAACTGATAAGCTGATAAGGATCACTGATAAACTGATCAGGATCACTGATCAAGGATGATCGATGGCTCGCAGATCAGTGCATAATTTACTAACAATATAGGTGGTAACATATGCTCATAGCTAGCTAAGCTGTAGAGTTTCCGCATAACAGTACTAAGATTAAACTACTGATAAGAGGTGATAAGCCAGTGATAAGAGATGTGATAACTGATAACAGGTGATAAGCTAGTGATAAGAGATATGATAACTGATAACGAAAATACAAAAATACTAAGAATATAACTGAACACTGGACTGATCAGAAGTGATAAAAGGTGATAAGCCAGTGATAAGAGATGTGATAACTGATAACAGGTGATAAGCTAGTGATAAGAGATATGATAACGTGATAACAGCAATACAAAATACGAAGAATATAACTGAACACTGGACTGATTAGAAGTAATAAGAGTAAAATTAAATTAAAACTCCACAAAACAAGAATACGACCACACGAAGTTAATTCTAACGAAACAATGAGCACCCTCATGGAGCTAGTCCTCAACTTAGTGATGAATAACCACCAAATAGTTCAGTAGATCAATGTGTTGATCAAATCGATCAGATGATAGTGATCACGTATTGATCACCATTGATCAAATCGCAGTCGATGCTGACAGATCTTTATGAAAACAGAGAGATCATTCGGATTCAGTGATCTGGCTCTAATAAATGGATGATTTCTGATCAGGATGGACTGGAATTTTGTGAAAATTAAAAAATTTACTAGAATTAATTTCAGGCTTTGGCTGAAAATGCCATCAAAATAAGTTCGTTGGGTGGATCGGCTAAAGTTAGCGCTAAATATCGTGCCGTCTATAAGACGGTGCGTGAGGGGCAGTTGACCGTGCAAATGGAGAATTTTGATGTGAACGTCCGAATAAAATTCACGAAGACATTCGCTGGCTATTTACAGGTTTGATAGAAATAATTTCAGGCCCCCCCCCTTCCCCCCCGAGATCACTAATAAAATGCCCTTATCTCCCCGAATAAGCCAAATTTCCCCGAAAAATTTTTGATATTCTGAATCTAGAGGTTCTGCTGGATTGATTGGTGCAAAAAAATTCCCATTCCCATGGGCAAATTCATGGGTAAACCTGAGAAGACGCTAGCCTTGA